TGAGAAACACGAAAATAATTTTACAGATAAACACATTTGAATTTAACTGCTAATATTGACATGCTCAAAATAATATTAACTTAAATTCACCGCACATCTCAAAACACCGAGAGTTAATGCATGATACGAGGGTAACCCGACATAACTCCACATTCGCAAGAGAGGGGCTTTCAAAGGCCCATTAATTTCCATAAGTCAAACCAAATTCATGACGAACGAAATTAACAGTCGAAATTTATTTGGCCATGCAATAAAATCAGGGACCCCGAGGGGAGTTATAAATAAATCGTATTCTAAGTGAATCCCATTTCTTGATCCTGAGTTCATACGAATTTGATTATACGTCATCCGAGGGGAAGCCCGTACTCTCTCATAAGAATTCCTCTAATCGTCTAATTAGCAATTTACCTGGTAATTACCTACAAATAATTTTAGTGATGTCACCCGAGGGGCCCATACCGCAATTAACTGATTTACCGACAAATTAGAAATGGAGGCCTTAGGAATTTTAAGATTTACTGTATTTTAAAATCCCTTCTCAAACTTAATATAATTTAAATGAGGATTTTTTGTTATTTAAATATTTATGCAATTCTAAATTAATCCTATGTAAATGCAATAATTAATTAACATGCATAAATAAATATGCAATTTTAAATTAATCCCACGCAAATACAATAATTAATTAACATACATAAATAAATAAATAATTAATGGCATAATGAATTTAAATAAATAAATAAATAAATAAATAAGTCCACTATTATGACCATTAAATATTGAGTTCCCATAAACAAGGAAACCTTGTATATATTCTTTCCCTGTTCAACTGGAACTCCCACTGCAGTAGAATCCTGGTTTTTTTCTTTTTTTTTTTTCATTGTACTTGGATCCAGTCAAGAAGCTGAACTTGCTTTGCAGTAGAATCCTGGTTGATACGTATTGTTTGACCACCAATCAAAACCTCTCCACCGCCCAGCTCGCCGCCGTCGGTGGTCTGAAATCCGGCGGCAATTTTTTTTTCTTCTGCGAGGCTTTAAAAAAAAATTTAAAACCATACATCACATTCATCAACATTCATCAAACACATAGTCGACCATAACAGTGGATTAAACTAATTCCTGCAAAACCTAGTTATGCGAATATAATCTAATATATGGCTGCGTTTGAACACATCTTAACAAATAAAGCCGTAAAAATTCAAACTTCTACACAACGAATTAAACCAAGTGCTCTGATACCACTTGTTGGAATCTATGAGGATCTCGTTATGTACAAATCACGAATTCATTAGCAAAACGTAAACCTATGCGCAACAGATCTAAAGGTTTCCGTAGAGAACTTACGGCTTAAAATTTATGACGATCTGGATGATCTTCTGGATGGTCGTACACAACACACCAATGAAAATTTGTCTGCAAATCACGTCTTAGGGTTGCACGAACAAGATCGGATCGAAAATCAAACGGGTGCAAAACGAATGAAAACAAAACTTGCAGTCTGGGACACTCCGGCGGCGCGTGAGGGCGCGTGCGACGTCGGACGGCAGTGATCTTGGCAGAGTTGGAAATCTCTCGTCGAGACGGTCGTCTGGGTATGTTGCACGCCTTGATCGGACCTCCGGTTAGTTCTGTACAAAAAAATATATTTCGTCTCGGTTTACCTACAGATCTTCTACTGTATGTCTCAAACACCTCTTAATCTTGTACCGTGGAACAAAAAGAAGAAGATTAAGCTCGAATGGGAACTGAGAGAGAGAGAGACAGAGAGAGAGAAAAGATGGCGTGGGTCGTGTTTCACGAGTTGTGGAATTCTCTTATCTTCCCATGAGCTTAATGATGTATATATAGAGCTACAGTAGGGAACCTTAGGAGATTAGGAGGAGGGCTCCTTAATTAATTAAAATAATTGTGGACCAAGCAACTTATTTCAATTAATTAAACAATATTAAATGGGCCACCAACATAATATTATTACCCTCTTTTTTCCTAACCCAATTTACAATTGAGACTCTAATAATAATTACTTGATTTATCTCTCATGCTTAAGATATAATGTTCATTAATTAATTCGATTACTGACAATCAAGAATTAATTAATTTATTATTATTTCACCGAAGCTAACGCTCATTCATCACATTATTACTATGCCGGAATTAAATCCACCTACAGGGTTTAGCATAAAAATCCTCATGAACTCACTCCGGGGACATCATCGAACCAACGCACATAGTGATCGTAAATATCCTAACAACACATCTACATCCAACAATATTACCCAAGACAGCGGGTCTATTGACCCAGTTCACTAAGTCTCACCCATGTGAATCAAAGTAATAAGTACTACATATATATGCCTGTTTAATATCTTACGGGTTAAGAGCACGTAGTAATTAACCGAGGCCTAGTTCATTTACGACGATCAGTATAAAATGAACTGCTCCTCTCTGGGATCCTGTTCAATACATAAATTTACTAGTGCAACTAATCAGTCAAAACAAACTGTATGGTTGACAGTACACCCGTTCACGATGGGGTGTTCATGTCCATCTAGGTTGTGAACCAATAATTCTTGTTTCGCGAGTAACTGATAGTATGATCTTCGGTTCGCCCGATGACGACCCACACTATCTAATGCAAAACAACA